CGGCGCCTTGGCGTGTGCGCGGTGGTGGCTGTGCGTGTGCGCGTGGGGGCGCGGGCGCGAGTGTGGGTGCTTTAGAGTCTAAGGGGCCGGAGTTTGAGCCCCGCGGCCTTTGGAGCCCCCTCTCCGACGCCCAGAGACCCTCTTCGGGAGTTCGCCTCCCCCAACAGAGCGCAAGGCTGGCTCGGTCGGTGACAGGAAGTCCTCGGCGCCCTCTGGGTCTCGGGACTGTCCCGGCCCCCTCGCTCCGCGCGGTCCCAGAGCTCCTGTCGCTAGATGGGGCGCCACAGCCGCGCAGGGTGGGTGGGTGGGGGCACAGGGCAGGCACCCGAGGTTCTGGCTGCCGGAAGTCTAGCCTTCTCCAGCCGCAGGGGCCTCCTTAGAAGTTGGGGCCCGGAGCTCCCCAAAGTGGATCTCACACTTCACAGATTAAGAGCCCCAGACGTAGTCCTGCTCCTCCCCCCCACCCCAGCCGCCCTTTCGGCCTCATCCCTGAGCACGGAGGGCTGCGCTTCTTAACAAAAAGGGGAGGCTTGCCCGCCTTCCCTCTGCTCCCCTCGCTCAGCCTTCTTCTGGGGGCGGGTCCTGGGAGCCTCACCACCCCTGTCCCATTCCAGCCTCAGGTACTGTGAGGCGTCCCAGTGGGAGGAGGCCCGGGTGGGGTGCAGAGTGTGGACCTTCTGGCCCTAGGTCAGCTGGGCCCCCTGCATTCTGGGGGAGGGGCAGACAGCCTTAGTCAACTCACAAACAGAGACCCATCCCCTCTCCTGTGCTGGGCGACTGAGGAGACTTGGAGTGAGAACTGCTCCCTCCCCACCCGGGAAAAGTTGTGCGTGTCCTGTGCTCTTGCCCGGAAAGAAAACAATGACCTTAGACCTACAGGCGGGGGAGGCAGGAGGGGGACCCGTCCTGTTCTCAGGACCCACTGCCCCCTGGCTCCAGCAGCCCTTGGCATTCTGTGGGTCGTCCCCTTTGGGGGTCCTGTGGCAGCCCCATAATAACTCCTGCTGGTGCTCTGGCTGCCCCCTCCCCCTACTTCCCCCTCACCTCTGGCCTAGCACCGCCCCCTCCCTGTCCCTATTCCTGGACGAACCTCAGAAAGGACTGGAAAAAGCCCGGCCAGAAAGCGGTGGGGTTTTGCTTCCCTGCTGGAACTTTCCTTTTATCAGGAGACCTCTCGGAAGCCTGCCCTGTACCCCGCTGCCACCCCATGACCAGACTTGATCAGCCCACAGGCCCACAGTCTCCTTCCCCAGGGGCGGGTCGTGGCGGTGGGTGCGGGCCCACGCCCAGCCCCAAGTCCAGCCCGTTCTCCTCCAGGCCGGCCTTGGCCTTGGGCAGCACGGCCTGCCCAAGCTGGCCCTGCGGAGTCACCCACCTCCGAGTGGGCGGGCAGGCCTGCAGCCTCCTAACCGGTGTCCCCTCTGTCCACTGTGCCCACCCAGGCCCCAGGTCCCGCAAACCAAAGAAGAAGAACCCCAACAAGGAGGACAAGCGGCCACGCACGGCCTTCACCGCGGAGCAGCTGCAGAGGCTCAAGGCCGAGTTCCAGACCAACAGGTACCTGACCGAGCAGCGGCGCCAGAGCCTGGCCCAGGAGCTCAGCCTCAACGAGTCACAGATCAAGATTTGGTTCCAGAACAAGCGTGCCAAGATCAAGAAAGCCACGGGCAACAAGAACACGCTGGCCGTGCACCTCATGGCGCAGGGCCTGTACAACCACTCCACCGCGGCCAAGGAGGGCAAGTCGGACAGCGAGTAGGCCGGGCGGGCGGCGCCACGCAATGCAATAATTTAAAGTCGCAAATAAAGGGCCAGTGTATAAAGATTATACCAGCATTCTTAGTGAAAAGATCGTGTATTAGCTACGGTTCTGCAATATTCTATGTATATATAATTTACAGGTGGTGTAAAACCCAAAATATGACTATAAAATATTTTTTGATTTTTTTTGTGTTTATGAGATTATGTTAATTTTATGATTTTTTTTTTGTGTGACGGGGACCACTTTCATCTTTTTTAATCCCCTAAGCTCCATTATGGGACATCGGACACTTTTTTTTTTTAATTTCAAAATAAGAAAAAATTAAAACAACTTGCTGAAGTCCAAAGATTTTTATTGCTGCATTTCACACGACTGTGAACCGAATAAACAGCTCCTACTTGGTCTATGAGTTCTGCCACTTTGTTTGTGTGGGCTTGGTGAGGTCAGCAGGAGGGGGTCACACCCCAGCCTCTGCCAGGGCAGCACCAGGGCCATGGCCTGCCAGGAGACGTTGGGGTTCTCGGAGAAGTGTGGGAGCGTGGCCGTGGGGAGTGCAGGCGCCCTGGGCCCTGCTCCGTCCCTCCCCTCCTCCTGCCTTCTCTCCCTGTCCCACTTGCCCCTCGCCAGGCCCTGCGTGCTTCTGTGCTGCCATCTGCGTCTGTCACTGTCCCCTGTCCCGCCACCCAGTGCTAGCGCCAACTCTCCGTCTCCGGGCACGGGGGCTCCCCGGCAGAGAATTCCGCGAGTGGTAGGGTGACCTCTCCCCTCCTCCTGGCCCCAGCCCAGGGGATCTGCAGCTCCACCGGCCTCCCAGAAATCCGCAGGGCCGAGCCCCAGAAATGGCGGGGTCCAACGGCTCCGGGTGAGCGGAGTTGGCATTTTCTTCCTTTCCTTTTTCTCTTTTCTCCTTTTTTTTTTTAAAGTGGCCGTTTCTGCTTTCGAGAGCATTCTCTCGCGGTGACTCGTGTGTGTCTACAGACGCACTACGCGTGGACACACACATGAGCCACAGTTCCAGGACATGTGACTCCCTGGAGTTTTAAAGGCACTCAGAATCTCCCAGCATCTAGAGGAAGGAAGAAAACATGTAAATAATCCTTTCTTACCACTTTTTGTCTTTTGTTGTTTTTTTAATATACATTTTATTTTTTTGAAGGTGCGGTACAGTGTAAATTAAATATATTCAATATATTCCTGCCAAGTACATATATATAAACAAACACATTACCCTATATATATAGTTCCACTCCGTCTTCCATTTAGTGTATGGAAAAGGACTCGAGTCCAAATGTCTATCTGTGGTCGGGACAGCCCAGGGTGTGCCCATGGCGGAGACGGGAGTCATGGCTGTCCCCTGAGGACCGAGGGTGAACTTCTCTCTTTTTGCCTTAAACCTCTTTATTTCACTGCGATGATAGTTTCACTTTGTACACACTAGTGTAAACCTTTTTAAAAAGGAAACTATGAAACAAAAGTTGTAATTTAAAACTCTGTGAATAACCATCTGCTGCTTAGGAAACTCAATGAAATGCTATGCCTTTTTAGCAGGAAGAAAGTTTTTCGGTTTATTTTATTTTATTTTATTTTTTTGTTGATAAAACATGTGCATTTTACAGTTCCAGTATCCAATATTTATAATCTTATGAGCAATGAATGTTTCTATTTACAACTGTGGTTATCAAAATTGTGAACATCCCCCCTGCATTTTTGTGTGTTTCAATTCTTGAAAGTTACATTAAATAATAATTTTAAAAAACTACTTTATTGTAAAATACTGGATGTGCAAGGCACAATGACTAGTTTCTCTGAGCGTGTCTGTGAGTCCGGGTGACTGCTGGCCGTCCTCCACCGTGCAGGTGCCAGTGGCCTTTGCCCCAGTCCCAGTGGGGGTGCACATGCCAGCTTTGGTAGCCAGAGGAGTCATTTAAAAAATCATGATCATAATGAAGACACTTTGGATATGTCCTGTGTGAGCACAAAACAACTGGAGTTATTTAAGTACACATCTTTTGACCGGAAGGAAGTGTTTGAAAGTATGATGCTATTCCACCCAATGAATATTCAAATCCCGCAGAATGCGACAGGGCTCCAACCCCCTCAAGGCTCTTCCTGCTGCACAGTGGCCCTGGACTCCTGGGGCCAGGACCTCTTACTGACTGACACAGGAGTCTCTTCACTTTTACGATTTGTCGTCTTTTTTTACCCCCAAAGTAAAGGATGTGGACAACATGCCAAGGCGGATGCGGGGAAAAGACCGGCTCTGCGGGAGGTGAGCGGATGCCTGGGTCCCAGAGTCCCCTCTGCGCGGAGAAGCGGGCAGGATCCACCTCCACGGGGCCCTGAGCACCGACTGCTCTATTTCCAAACCTTATTGGCTTGAAAAAGAAGTTTCTTCGCCCACTAGAAGACACTCAGACAACCCGGAGGATTATCTGTTGCTGAAGGAGAACTTTCAGGCGGCTTCTGTTCACACCCGGCCTCTCCGCCTCCTGGTGGCAGCGGGGGCTGCTCCCCGGATTTGCAAAGACATCTGGATGGAGGGAGCTGGGGTCTCAGCGACGAGGCTCCAGTCAGGGAGCGCCCGGGGTCATCGCCAACGGGGTGCCATTCCACGGACCATGCCCAGCATCTTCCCTGCTCCCGCTTCGGAGGCTCCTAGATTAAAAACAGAACAAAAGCCATTAACTCAACAATGATTACCCGGTTGGACTCTCTCACTTTTTAATAAAAGGACAATATAGCAACATTAAACAACCATTTTGTTTTTTAATCTGTTTGCAAATCCTAACATTAGTAAGGGACAAGGCACGTTTTTGTAGAGCAATGAGTTCCCCGTCCCCAGAGGCATGCAAGCAGACACTAGGCCTACAGTAGCATGGGGAGAATTTTTCTTTTTTACCTTTTGTCTCTGAGAAGAGATTGGACTAAATGAGCCTTCAGACCCTTCAAACACCGAGATTCTGGTTTTGCTCCTACGTTTATTACAATTTTTAAAAAATCAACAGCATACAATCCAAGCTGATAACCCATGCAGAGCCCCCGCGGCGCCAGCCAGGCGCTCTCGCTAGGAGGAGCAGAGGCCAGAGCCAGGCCTACCGCGAAGGCCAGGTTCGGAAGTCCTGCGGCCAGCGCGGTACCACCTGGGCCACCGAATGCCTCAGACCAGGACCGGGACTGCAGCACGAGAGTTGGCGGATCCTCCATCCCACCCCCGCGAGAATGTCGCTCCCGCAGGAGGCCAGTTTACTAAACGTTCACCAGAGGAAAGCTTTATGAGAAGTCCTTGCTCCTCCGAGCCGAAAGTCCACCTTCCCCTCTCCGACGCCAGGCCTCACTGAGTCCCGGACGCCGAGGCGGAGGTGTCCAGCAACCTCTTTAGCGAGGCAGATCTGCCCGGGCCAGGGAGACCGGTGGAGAGCACGACAGCCCCCAGGCCCGCCCAGAGCCAGCGCTGGGGCAGGGTGCGGGCTGGGGGGGAGGCCTGGCAGGTGCTCAGAGGCCTTTTCTCCTCCAGCCGCCCACTCCTCCAAAAGGGTGGGAGGAGTAGGGTCCCACCTGCAGGCCGAAGTCAGAATCCGACGGTTAACACGGGCGCGACGGTCGCCCAGTGTAGACCCGCCATGCGCTTTCTTTAAGACAAGGAAGCCACGCGGGTGACAACAGTCTGATCGTCAAGAGGGCTCCATCTTTTCTGTTTGCTCCTCGAGTGAAAAGGGCAAATCCATGGAGCTCCTAGCCCGTGGGCACAGGTGCGCCCCGGCGCACAGCGCGCAAATACCCAGGCACTACATATGCAAATACGCCCGAGGCCGCCCGGCGCCGGCGGGAGGCGGCCTGTGCCCGCTCCGGCTCGGCGGAGAGTCATTCTGTCTCCCGCTGGTTTAATATGCGACCTTCGCGCCCTCCACC